GTACTTTTGTAGTTGTCACTTGGTTTATCAGCCGGGCATTCCTTTCGGAGAGTAAGCTGATTTGAGGCTGTGACTTAGCGACTTCAAGAACAAAGGGCTTATGATAATAATTTGAAATTCAAATTATCATGCCATCAAATCTCATAGGACCAACAATATTCAGCAAATATGATTTAAATACCTTATCATGCTATAAGCTTACTTCTCGTCAAATCCGAACTTCTCCATTAATCGTATTCATTGATAGGGGGAACCGAGGCCAAATGCCAAAATATCATCTCGACCTATGTCGTGATTGAACCCTGAATCATAGTCGTATATTCAATTCCTGACAAACAGTCATTTAAGAACATTCAATAACGTCCATGGACATAACTTCCTTATTTCTGAGTATGGTTAGTGGTGCTCACAAAGGGTTTTCGCATATGATTCTTATTTCATTTTATGTGTCTTTGATAAAGTCATAAAAGCTGCATTACCGTAAATTGGTAATTCAGGTCTGTAGGCGTGTTTTCATTCCTTATGAGTAATAAATGTCCAAACATGACGAGGATTTTAGTATTCCAAGCTAGTGGAAGCAATAAAAATATGACAGTATTATTTGCTGTGGTAACAAACATGTCAAATTTTATTACGACAAGTATGCATGTATACCTCAATCTCAATTTTAACTCCGTCAAGAATTCTTTCAAGACAATTTTGTTGCTGTCAAAGGTCGGAAAAACAGAATCGTCAATCGGGCGTCTTGTTATTCCATTCCTGTTATTGAATGCTATCAATTTTCCAGCTCGTTTAAGAAATATAATACCTACATTTTCACTTGAACGATTTCCTTTATTCACAAATTGAATGAATGAATTACCATGAACTTTAAACCTAATCAATTTAAATCAAGGAAGGCGTAAAATCTGTTTAACAATATGGTGCTAAAGTGGCTGGAATATAGCACTTATGGTCACTTCCTTGTGAAATTTAGCTGGTAGCAAACGCCAATATCGAATCGTCCATTCGGCGTTAATTGTTTAAACTATTTCAGATTTCAGTTATCCAAAGAACAGTCATTATGTTGATATTTTTTGCCATCATTGTTTACTCAACTATTGGCTAAGATTTCGTCTTAACGTGTCTTATTATATATACAAAACTATTTGCGTTGCTGTAGTTCTTTTTTTGTGGATTCTCAAAATAGGTTTTCTATTTAGTTATGTTCCAAAGATTTTTTTTTAACCTAGGAACAAATACTTCTTGTTATTTTAACCCCCAGCGAGGTTCCATAATTATAATTGATGTATAAATATTCATTGATTAACATAACTTGTAATCATACATATATACCGGGTGTTCCAAACAAACAAAAAACGTCATAAATGTCTACGGGTAGTACTCCAGCCGTTGGTAAACTGATCTCTTTCAAAATTCTGACAGATATATTTCAATATGTCGTTGTCCAACCCTAAAAATATAAAAACCATCGAATAAAAAAATACTGCCCCGAAGCAAATAGCATGTAAAAAATTCAATATCAAGGCAACTTACCTATTTCAGCCTGTGCTGGTTACAATAACAAATTATCAAAAAAATATTCATTAAAATTTCTACCGCACTGTTATGAATGTAAAGCAGGTTTCTTAATTTATTTATACTCATATTTTTTTTTCTAGAAAGTATTGTCGTGATATTGTGAATACTATGTTTTTAAAAAGATAATTGTTTTATCTGCAAATATTTTTTTGTCATTTCAAGCTCATTAAAACGTTAATAGCGACAAAAAATAGTAAAATTAGATCTTTTTAATTATTTTGTACACGTCTTGAGCAATTTCTTACAATATCTGTTTGCATGATCGAAGCCAAATGATATTGGAGCTTAGTGGGAAAATTTGAACACTTGTCAATGTGAACTGAGTCCGGGTAGCTCAATTGGAAAATTGTTTCTAAATGCGCACTCCCGTAGTTTTGCGCTCTTCAAGCTATCACGTACAGAAAAAGTTAGACGTAAAATTTCGTTCCGTTTAATGTATCCAGTATTGGATTCATTATGATCATAATATAAGTAACGACGGGATGTCTTACCGAAGACACCTGCGTCGGTATTTATTATAGTGGAATGGAAAAAAATAAAATATTGACAGAACAGGATACATCATAACAGATTGCAATAACCTTCTATTCTTCTTTATTGCAAATTCGATATGGGCATTATATTCGTTTTTGTATTGCTCCCTTAAATCGTTGTTCTTATGGGATATTTAAATGTGTGTTGGAAACACGCTTCCAATCGTATTCTACTCCAAGTTACAACGTTTTTCACTGTCGATTAACCTGAATGCACAAATATTGTCAAGATTCATTATTTTCTATGACATTTATGTCAAATTCTTCATTCTAATAGAAATTTATGCGCAGATCGTTGAACACGCGAAAAAAGTTTCTCTTTTAACGAGGCAATATTTAACTCATATACAAGAATCCAAAAGGCATTCTTCACATATTGCTTTGTGAACTACAAATTGCCTAAAGGGCTTTGGTTAACATAAAGTGCAATGACGACATTAGATTTTCGAATATCTCAAATAAAATGGAAACAGCTTATGGTCAATTGCGTTCGTGGTAAAGTTAATTCCGGGATATCAAAAGCGTGGAGCATAATTTTGGGTATTAAGCATTAGGAAATTGAAATCAATGTTTTCAAAAATGAATGTGGAATATCTGAATATAAAATCGAAAGTAATTATTTTGGGTTAGAAATAATAGTCTCAGCAGTACGTTATTAGAAATGGAAGCTCATTTGAACATCAATTTTTGATTTTGTCTTAATGATTAATAACGTTGGAGGTAGGAGTAATAGATTCGGTTTTGAGATTGATTAAATATATATCAGGGAAGGGGAATTTCAATTCCCCGAAATATTGTAGAGGCTTGGGAACAGATTCTTTACTTAAAAATAGAACTGGGCAAACTGTTGATGTTCTTCTTATCTGTAAAAGCTGGGCTTCTAGAAGTCTTAACTAATGCTCATTGATTATTTTTTGAATAGTGATTTTCGGTTGGTTCGTTGGTATATGACTAGTTATCCGCTTTCAGCGGATGCTGATTTCGCAAACTAGGTTGTTGTTGGTAGTCGTAGTAATTGGATTATTGTTTCTTTTAACCTCCTTAAACATGGATTGCGTTAGTATCCATCATGAAATAATTAAAGGCGTTAAGCTTCTTTTGATGTTACTGAGGACCAATGAATGAGTTTCTGAATTAGACCCACGGAATTTATCTTGACTTATGAGAATGGTCACTGACGTTCGTCATATATGATCAATTTAAATGACAATAAGGCACATTTTGAGACGGTCATAATTTATAGCTTAAATTAGATCAATTGAAACTTTATTGAGTACCATTTCATGCAATATTTCACTTATAATAGAAGTCTCAATTGGTCGCAATTGGCTAAATCAGCGCCGATTCTGTTATGATACACGTTGACATTAGTTGTTATTCTTACAAGAACAGTTTTTAAAAAGTTGAGTAACGTACATGATTGTCTGGTCTGAGTATACAATTGATCTTGTTTGACTAAAAAAAACAAATTAATAATCGAATAACGTCAATAACAATATTTATAATAAAGATAATAAATACATCATCCTCTGTTGATATTATGATATGCCATGGCTGCATGTTGTAAAAAATGTTTATTTGGTCTTATAATATACACAATGCAATGGATGATGTAAAATACTAATGATGTATGAAAAAAGTTATTCAAGCCAATTCTCTCTCGATTTGGGAAATGTACAAGCTATCATTAATTTAACAAATAAAAAAATAAATTAATCGCCAAGCCATTTTTCGAAATATCCGAAGTTATTTTTCTAATTATTCAGTAAAAGATACTTGTCCGACTGTTCAAGCTATTTCCCTGGTGATTCAAGTTAGTTTGCGAAGCATAAATCCTATTCTTAATTTGTTAAAGACAGTTATTCAACCTATGCTCGAATATTGCAAGACAAGCCATTCCTCATCTAATTTTGAGAGACATAATACATACATTAATCTTAATGAATCTTAATTTTACTGTTCTAGAATAATTCAAGCTATGTTTCGGCGATAGTGGCACAACTATATAAGTGGGGACTCCTCCCCTGGGATATTTTGCTCTCCTTTTTCTTGGGGTAGAACCCCTGGTTCAACCAGTCTTTAAGGTAGTTGAGCTACTATTCAGTGATATGCGAGGCATAACACATGAATTAATCTTATTTAAGCCATTTGGAGAGAAATAGTTATTATCCAATGTAAACTGTCTCGGACTCATTGAAATAAATGACTTAGTTCATTAGTCTACCCATATTGATTAGGGTCAAGAAATCAATCGAATCATGTTCTCCGATTTAAAAGGCGTGAAGAGTCTTTGAAATCTGACAGACGTGGAAAATAATTCTCATACTTGAAGCAAAGCGTATCAAAATGTCTGATGATTTGTAAAGACATTACGGGATTTCCACTATTAAATGTCTGATACTCTTATGAAGGAAACAATTTGAAGTTTAGAAAAAGTTACGAGACAGCCACGTATCGCATGTAATTTTATGTCAAAATAATGCACCAGGACTGAAGCCAGTGCATGGGGTTGGGGTTTGGGTGGCGTGTAGTACATCCGAAGGGGAATGGGGTGTTCGTGGATTTCAGAAGTAGAGAAATGTAAAGCACATCCGAAATATATCATCTTCACTTCAATGTATTACAAACTTACTCTAATAAGTTGACCTCAATGGGCACTTTTCTTGTATTATGGAAGTTTGTGAATTGAATTGATTGTACGCTGGCGAATACAGCCAATCAAAGCCCTCGACAGAAATATGGCATGTGTGCTTGTAAGCTTTCGTCTACGCTTTGATTTTACAGCAGAAAATAAACTGCATTGTAATTCCTTAAAAAGTATACAAGAAAAATTTGTAATCGTGTTCCTGATTAGGCTACTGGTACTTCAATTATTCTTTATTACAGGTAGTCAAGATGATGATTATCGTGGTTTGTTCCTTTGTACTATGCTGGTTACCACTTCAAGTCTACAATCTACTAAATGTATTGTATCCAGCTATTAATTTGTAAGTATTAAGGATTCTTTTCTGTTTCTTCTGTCAGCTACATTTAATATATTAGCAATTACTTGCGTATTATTTTCATAGTTTTGTCCCGAGATCATGAACATATTTTGAACATTTGCTGCTTCGAAGACGAGACTTTTCATTGTTCGAGATATCCTCAAGATCGCGTGAATGAAACCGTTCAAACTCGACTTCTTCACACAAAAATATGTCAAATGTATCCACGGCTAAGTGACATTTAATGAGTGGGTCGTAGAAATCCGACAAAGTTGCTTTTGATGCATTTTGAAAAATTTCCCCATATTCCATGAATTTTAAGTTAATACGTTTTCAAATAAAATTGAGTGAAGTATTCAGCCAATCTTATGAAATAGCCAATATTTAGATAAGACAAATTCCCTTTCTTGGCCAATGTAAATGATTTTTATCAGATGAAGTTGTTTAAACAGAATATCGTCGATGTAGTTAGTGATATCAGGTGTCCCAGAGTAATCATAACACGACCACTTATTGCGATAAGATAAAGAAATTATTACATCAATATCATATGATCAACCTATACAATCCTAAAGTGAGCATAAATATCATAAACAACACACAAGACAATCGAAATCGCCCCTTAATATCTCTCACGGCAAATTGAAATGAGCTCCTTTGCAGGTTAACTATATTTTAGGAGCATGTTTTCATAGTTGTGGAACAATTTTATGTTGGGTTTACATTCGCAAAGGGGGTTTTTAACGCCTCCCTCAGGTACTGAACGATTGCTCTTGAAGGTCGTGATGTGTCCATAAGAGCTAGTAGATCAACGTAATGAAATTATTTATTTAGATGATTGATGTTCATAAACTTACTATATAAAATTGCCATTGAAGGCTTCCCTCTAGAAGGACTTCGTTCCTATCATGTATACAGCTATGATTTTGCACTGACTGGAAATTGGGGCGTTCTTCAACAATTGTATCGGGGTTTGAATTGTAAATATATATGACAAATTTAACGTTAAACGTGGGATAAAAAGATCTGAGGTGCTGGTCTAGATCTTAATCAGTGTCGTGTAAATATTTCATACAGACATTGCTGCTCATCGATATTTCTGGCCTTTTACACGATTTCCTTTCCGAATATGGTAAATCCAATCCAAAGCCAGTTGAAAATGTAAACACAAGTAAAGCCTGTAAAGTAAGTTGGAGCTAAACAGGTTTTATCCTCGACAGTTGGAGATAGGAAATTAACAATTTGCAGATGTGCTAGTACAAATTCCCTTATTGCTCTCTTTTGGGGTTGCCTGTTTTTTTTAAGTCCAATCAAGGCTCACCATTTTATTTCCTTCAAAGCTTCTGCCTTAAGATATGTGTACAATGTATTGGAAATAGGAAAATAACAACTTGCGGATGTGCTAGTACAAATTCCCTTATTGCTCTATGTGGAGGTTGCCTGTTTTTTTTTTAAAGCCCATTCAAGGCTCACCATCATTTTATTTTTTTTTCAAACCTGCCTATAGATATGTGTACAATAGCTTTGTTTTCGATGGCATGTACACTTGGTGGTTAAATTAGGACATTCCGTTTACGTGCTTTCGAAACTTGTTAATGAGTTTTTCGTAAAACAAGTGTAATGTATATTTTTTTTTTTATTTCAATTTCGTCTCAAGAGAGATAAGGTTACAACCAAGAGAAACTTTACGTGGCTAAGTGTCAGTTTGATATGTCTAAGCCTACCAACGTTTCTGAGATTTTTTTCATCCTAAGTAGATCTGACAAATAATTGCGTAATAGTTGTTTGTCTGGCTATTAATAATTTTGAATGAAACTTCAAGGTTTAACGTAATGTGATTCTTTCTTAAAGTACAAAATTGAAGAAATGCAAAATAATTCTGATAAAAACTTTGAATACATAAAAAAACATACATGAAACAAAATATGAAACATCGATGAAAAATATTTAAAAAAAATGCAACTTCCATTTTTCTGACCAAGGCCATTATAAAATCAACATGTTTTCACGTGAATTCTACACTTGCCAATAATCACCATCCGTGGCTAAATTACGACAGAAAATCGACTCATCAATTAACATTACTTTTGTTTAACGAAGAGACAACCATTTTTGACCAGACAAACGTGTTACGGTTACTTTGTTGACGCAGTATTAAAATCAAATGTTGTTTCGCATTTCAGGATGCGAGTTAAAATAAACCCCTTTGAGATTCAATAATCCCTATGAATAACCATAATGAATATATTTGATCACGACGACCGTCGAATTAACGCAAATTGTGTATATTCTTGAGAATTTGCTGCTAAATCTGGAACAATAAAAGCAACTCTCAGCGGTCTCGATAACCTTGAGAATCTTTGAACCGCGTCACGTCTAGAAATAGCTGCAGCCATTGTCTTGTTAACAATATTGTTATTGAATTATTATATTATCAATCATTATATTATTTCAGACGTCTTTGTAGAGATAGCCGCTGAGTCCATGACCATAACATTTTGAATTACCTAATATTAATGAAATGTGAATCAAAATTTAACTAAACGTTCGATAAAATCAGCTAATGAACTGCGCCTCCCGACTCCCTTTTGGAAAGATCTTAATCACCCCAGGTACAATCTTTTAAACATACACGATAATAAACGATTGAAAACTTCCTTTTTACGGTAGTTCATTAAGTATCTCTCAGGAACAACGCGGCGGCATTAAAATAATCAAGGGTTAATCGGATATACTTAAGGTCTCCGAGGAAAAAAATACTATCAACCTTTTTTATCTTCCGACGACCAGAGTAGGCTAATTGAATTCGCGGGTAATCATTTATGTGCCCTCATCCCACTTTTTGATCTGAGGTCAACGACTCTTCTGATACAAAAATGACATTTAAAAGCATATTACTTAGCAGTGCAGTTTACGCAAATTTAAAAGCGGTTCATATGAACTAATACAGTGCGAGTGGAAATATTTACATATTAACTCAAGCCAACGCGATGGAACATGATGTATGGATAATGAAACATATTTCACATCTTGTTACTGAATTTTGCAAAATAATTCAAGCATTCCTATTGAGGTCCGACCACGCCGAATCCCATTATATCGGTATGAGACTAGATACAAGGGGTACTATTTCATCCAAATTCCATATTCGGAGGTGGGTCGAAATCGGTTCCACGATGTCACTTGTAAGTGAGGTTACACATATCCTTTGCTAAATTGAACATGGACAAAGTAATGTTTTAGTAAACATTATCAGCTCAATTAAACAAATAAAAATAATTGAGAATGAGCCCTACCATATTGAATAAGCTGAAGTCTGAACTAAATCAAATTTAGTGTTTACTTAAGTGTTAGTGTTTTGTGCTCTTTTTACTAAGCGTCTTCTTTTATAACCCTGGTTCCCAACCTGGAGAGTTTACATCCCCTTGTGTTGTGCGACTAGGGTGTGACCAAATGGGGTAGGAGAAGAATATATTTCGAATTGAGAGAGCATTACCACATGCTGAAAATGTGGATGAAACAAATTTTTGGGGTGTGAAAGGACCAGTGTTTGCTCCAGGTGTGTAAAGGCTGAAATAGGTTGGGAACCACTGTTTTACATAAAAAAAATAACAAGACATAAACCCGAAAGACTAATGAACCGAAATCCTAAAATTACAGTTTAGCAATACATTGGTAGCAGTTTATGAACTATTCATATCAGGAAGTATATCAATGATAAATGAGGAAGTATTTCATAATGAAATGTGGTATCAGGTGTCGAATGCCAAGTCATTCCTTGTGTTTTCAAAAGCTTAAAAACTAATGACGAACTAATTGTTTATTAGTGTCATGTATTCTTTATCGTATCATTATTTTCTTATATTGCATATAATTTAAGTTTTAACCAATCATAAATGTCCATGTATGTACAGTCTGGATAAAGAAAAAAAGACTTTTTGACCTTTCTTGATCGGTCACTCATTGGAATTTCTGCTGGTAATTCTCTTCTAGTTTAGCTATTTATGAATTAATTATGGACATGTGAGACAAACTGTTATTTTTCCAAGTCATCAGAACACCTCTACTTTCTATTCATATAAGTATTAGCATTTTGATTTTCATAAATGAAAATGAGGGAACCCATCTCTAAAAACCTTCAATAAAGCTTGTAATGAATGTAAAAAACATCTGAATCTACTTCTTGTCAAATGACCCAAGGTTCCGCCATGGCGAACAAATGTTGAAATTATGTTTTTTGCAAAGTAATTAAAGGTCTAATGAGGCAAAGTAATTCCCAGAACATTCTCGATTAAATCGAGTCAGTGATCCTCGAACGGATTTTTATGTTCGTAGAAAATGTTAAACAATAATCAATGCAAGTAATCACACACAAGAGACGTTTTCTTGTTCCGGTGGATTTAAAAATTACAATCTTTTCTACTATCCTTTTATTAGAAATCGGTAAAAAATCCGAAATCGGTCAGAAAAATCATTATGTCGTAGGACCTAATTAACTTAAAAAGGATGTCTATGGGTCATTTGAGATGTTCAATAATTAATTAATTAATGACCATGCTTAATTCAAATTCAGTAATGAGAGTTTTTAATCCTTAGTAATCCTGTTATGGTTAAGAGTATTCTAATATAATAACGATCCCTATGTTGAACTCCCAAAGGACATTTTAAGTCTGGCCCTAATTACACCTGTTTATAACGTCTGCAACGGATATTTCACAACGCAGTAATTCAGAATGCCTATTTTGGATTAGTTTTTTGTGTGTGAAATATTTCGCATCCATATTTAAAGTTTACATTTGTCAGGACTCGTGTTTGCTTTTTGCAGCACTTTGAATGACACTCAAGATGAAAATAGAACTTCTAGTTCTATAAAAAAAAATTAAAACCCGAGTAAATATTGATATAGGATCGTAAGAGATAAGAAACTAGATTGTTTTTAACAAAGACGCATTATAGTTTAAGCCTTTACAAATTGTTCTTAGATACGAAGAATATAAACCTAT